CAACCATTGCAGAAGACAGTGTGTTGATTTATCAAGGATCTAGAGATAGAAATTCCATTTGACCCAGCAATCCCATTACTGGGGATATACCCAAAGAACTATAAATCATTCTACTATAAAGACACATGCACACATATGTTCATTGTCGCCCTGTGTACAATAGAAAAGACCTGGACCCAACTCAAATGCCCATCAATGATAGACTGGACAAAGAAAATGTGGCACATATACCCCATGGAATACTACACAGCCATAAAAAACGATGAGTTTGTGTCCTTTGTAGGGACTTGGATGAATCTAGAAACCATCATTCTCAGCAAACTGATGCAAGAATAGAAAACCAGACACTGCATGTTCTCACTCATAGGCAGGTGTTGAACAAAGAGAACATGTGGATTCAGGGAGAGGAGTATCACACACTGGGGGCAGTTGGCGGATGTAGGAAGGGACAGTAAGGGTTGAGGAGGGTGGGGAGGGATAACATGGAGAGAAATGCCGGATATAGTATGCACCTATGCAACAACCCTGCATGACCTGCACATGTACCCCAGAACCTAATGTAAAAAATAAAAATTTAAAAAATTCTCCATAATCACATTTTCTTGTTACTTAGAGATCAGATAGGCTGACGATATTATCCACTGAAGTTTCATGTTACAAACTGGATAAATCAATCTGGAGTGCTTGTATTCTAAATTCCTCATGAGGAAGAGAATGAGGCTTATCCCTGTTAGCTACTGTAGTGTAAATGACAACGATAAAAATCTCTGTGGCATATACCATAAGTATTTCTTTCCCATGCTCTTGCGGGACAGTTGGACACCAGCTGCTCTAAGCTGAGCTAGGCTTCTTGGTGTGGATTTGCCTCTGATGTGTTCCAACTGATGTTTATTGTAGGGCCCAGGCTGAAGATGTTCAGTTACAGAGGAACTTTTTTGGATAGCAATCATTAGTATCCATGAAAGCACAAAGTGCACATAAAGAACATGCACAAGGAGAAACTGGCTTTGCACCGTCAGCCTCAGTTGGAACTGTACATAGTTGCTTTTACCCATATCCCATTGTTCAAAGCTAGATAATTGTCAAACCCAATGTTGAGGTGCTAAACTTTGCCCACTTGAGTAAATGGAAGTAAAAGGGCAAGTGGTAAGGGCTGCAGATGTATATGGTGTAAAGAAGGGAAGGGAAAAAGAATTGCCAACAATGATTCAATTTGCCACAAGGCTTAACATGGAAAGATAAAAATAAGGGCTTTAAAATCCTATGTTTAATAAGGATGATCGGGAGCTATTACACATTTCTAATAGCTATTATAATCTGACAGTGCATTAGGATAGATCTAAATTTGAAGAGGAAGAGTTGTATTGAGAATACATTAATAATCATTAGACAATGCACACTGATGAGCTCACAGAATGATATACTCTCGGAGCCACACTTTTCTTGCCACTGTATCATCAGCTTCACTAACAGGATAAGTGTAGTCAGAGTTTAAGGGTCTACGTGACAGACTGAACACAGTTTTGCAAGCAGGGAACCTTGCTTTGACTTTCTATTATGTTACTTATTAGTGTTTCTGATCTTTTTTATGTTCTTTAACTTTCCTCATTTGTGTAGTGGAGATGGAAATATCTGATTTACAAGGCTGCTGTGTGTTTTTAAATGGAACAATGTACATTAAGCACCTCGATATTCACAAATATTATTGTCTTTTGTTCATCCCCTGTACCCTATAAATACTCTGTTCCTGTAACACTTTATTATATTTATTGGTTTACATCTTTCTCCTCATCCTTCTCAAACTACAATCCCCTTGAGGATAAATAGATCACATTTTCCATTGTAATACCTGGTAAAATAATTGGCACATAGTAGGCATTTAATACTTTAAGACACACTGAATGAATATTTTACTTTTCTGTTACAGAAGCTAGAAAACAAAGGAGGGCTATATTTTGTGGCTGCAGAACCTCTCCTGAATGACTGTATTATGAATTATTTTTCCAGGTAGTAAAATGCCTGGCCGATATTATGAGCTTAGTAAATCTTAGCTTTCTTTCTTTTTAATCTAAAGATTTTTAGAAGGAAGAAGAACAAACAAGCCTAAGGCACTGCACTATTGACATCACAATATTACAATATCTTTAATTAACAGATGTTAAATAATCTTGAGAGTTCCCTTTTGTAAAGATAATTCTGAACAGAAAAATTCAGCAAGTGTTTCACGTTATAATGGCCAGAGAAGTTTTATTGCTTTGTTGAATTCTCAGAAGAGTAACTGAAAAATCTCTATACCAGATAGTTACCTAGAAGCTGTTCCAAAATTTTTTTCTATAGTAAATTTATCCTGGAAAATATTTCTTTACTGTTAATCAAAATTGTCATTCTTACCAAACTCCTCTGTTTCTTGGTCATTATATGATACAAGCCTGATGTTCATTATGATGCTATTCATTTATCTTAATGATAAAGATAAATTCTAATAAAAATAAGCGTGGACTTCATAAAAATTAAGCAATTTTGTGTTGCAAATAATACCATCAAGAATGTGAAAAGACAACTCGGAATGGGAGAAAATATTTGCAAACTACATATCTGATAAAAGACTTGTATTTTGAATATATAGAAAGTCAGACAATAATGAAAAAACGAAGTGCAATAAAAATGGGCAAAGAATCTGAATAGATATTTAAGAAGATATAAAAATGGCTAATAAACACGTGTAATGAAACTCCACATTACTCATTAGAAAAATACAAATTAAAACCACAATATGATACCAGCTTACACTGATTAGTATGGCTATAATCAAAAGACAAAAAATACCAACAGATGACAAGGATATAGAGAAATTGAAATCTTTCTTACATTGCTGGTAGAATGTGAAATATTACAGGAACTTTAGAAAGCCATTTGGTAGTTCTTTGAAATGTTAAACATAGAGTTGCTATATGACCCAACAATTCCACTCCTAGGTACATACCCAAGAGAAATGAAAATAAATATCCACACAAAAACTTGTAAATGCATATAGCAGCATTAGCCATAATAACTGAAAATTGGAAACAACCCAAATGTCCATAATAAATACACTATGGTATATGTATACAATAGAATATTATTCAGTACTAAAAAAGGAATAAATTATTGATGCATGTGATGACGTGCATGAACTTAGAAGACATTATGCTGATGGAAAGAGGCCAGTCACAAAAGATCATTAATATGAATCAATTTGTAAGAAATGGCCAGAATAGGCAAATCTATGGAGACAGAAAGTAGATCAGTGTTTGCCTGGAAGGAGGAAGACAAACATGAGACATGACTGATAATGGGTATAGGGCATTTTTTGTGTGCAATGACATAGGAAACTATGGTTTCAAGGCCACACTTTCCTTGAAGAAAGGCTGGAAATGTAGTCAGTCACTAGCTCAGCATTCACTTTCCAACTAAAACTGTGTGATCTGGAAGAGACCAAAGGAGTTTTATCTGCAACTGGCCATCCCTTGCAACGTTTTATACTAACTTTTAATCCTGTCAACATCCTCACCAACTCTTGATGCTGGAAGAATATAATGTTTTGCTAATCATATATATAAAATACGGCATCTCATTGGTGTTTTCTTTGTATTTCCCTGATTCTTATTCAGATGAGAAAGAAATTTACAGTATATATTTTCTCAGAAACTGGGAGAGAGAGAGAACAAGTCAAGGGGATTTTGAAGAATTTCAAGATGAGCAGATGAAGAAGTTCACATCAAATAACATTGACTACTCAGTGAAACTGTGGCAGAATATCTGTGTTCTGCAGGCTCAGCAGCAGGATGACAATTTATCTTGTCTACTGCATGGTAGAATGAAAGCTTCTAAGCACAGAAAGACCAGGCAGTAAAATGGCTAGCATGACATACTTGAGTTTGCTGCCTCTGCTGTGTTTTGAAACAGGAAGGCGTTCTCAAAAATGGCAAATTTCATCCTTACCACTTTTAACTAAGAATCAATTTGTATCATCCACAATTCAACTGAAAAGAAAATCCTTCTTAGAAAAGACCTCATCATACTTAATGATCAAGTAGCAATCAGAATTTCAAACAAAGAGCTTTTTGTTGCCACTAGACTAATACTCCCCTGAATCATAGCTACGAACGCCCAAGGAACCCTCCAAATACAAAATACTAACTATAGTATTCTTTGGTATGTAAGACCAAACCAATTTTCCTCTGTGGTATAACACTCATTCATTAGGAGTGTATTTGGCTGCCTAAATCCTGTGCCGTTTGTCAATATCCATAAATAACTGTTCATTATTGAGTCTTTAGATCATTGTGTGCAATTCTTCATCATTCTCTTTTTCATTTCCCAATTGGCCATATAGCAAAAATATAACATTTCTTCAAATACCATGGAGATGTCAGGAATTGTTACAACATGCAATTATCAATCTGTTATTTTACTGTTGCAGCATACAACAATTAAAAAATAATGATGATGATTCCCTGAGAAATTTTAATTAGAGTATGTTGGCCAATATCCTGGACTTCTAATTACTATAATATCAATTAGAGTTGAATATGAATGCTACATATGTCAAAAGAGACAAATGAATTTTTAGAATATATAGCACAATCATGTAGTTTTGAGGTCCTGATGGGATTGGATAAGAAAGTAACTGGGAATTAAAAGTTCCTGAACTTTCTATCTTGGGTTCACTGTGCCCATTTTTCCATTTAATAATCATTGTCTTACTGACAGACATTTAAATTCTGTTAACAATTTTACATCACTTTTAATTTCTTGTCCTGTAATTTCTTCTAAAGGGTAAGACTTTCCTTCCATGTTTTTCTTTTTATTTTGTGTATAATGTGATTTTTGTTTCAGAAATAGTTTTATATTGCCTCTTTTTAAAAAAAGTGCACTTTATTTTTTAGAACAGTTTATAGTTTACAAAAAATTGAGTAAAAACTACAGTGAGTTCTCATTTATTCCCTCCCTCCTGCCAGGTTATCTTGCGAAGTGGCTGTGCCATTACGAATTCTCACCAGCAATGAATGAAGATTCCTGTTGCCTCATATTTTCGCAAGCATTTGATTATGTCCATATTTTGAATTTTAGTCAGTTTAATGGGTGCATAGTGGTATCACAATGTTGTTCTAATATACAATGCTTCAATGATATATGATATTAAACATCTTTTCATATGCTTATTTGTCATCTGTATATCTTCTTTGGTAAAGTGTCTATTCAGATCTTTTAGCTCATTTTAAAATTAGAATGGGGAGAGGAGCCAATATGGCTGACTAGATGTAGCTGGAAAGAGCTTCTCCCACTGGGACACCAGATCATCAAGAAGATCAGCAGACTCTGAGCAGATCTTCAGAAGGTAGACTTTGAGACTGAATGGTGAGAGGACTCAGACCCTTGGCTGAAAGAGAAGGAAGTTGGGATCCCTGCACAGGGTTGTCAAGCACCAGGATTTGTTCCTGGCCCTAAGTGTCTTTTGGGGAAGAGTGAGTTATATAGGTGTGAAATGGCCCACTCTCACCACAGACCTCCAGAATCCTAACTGCAGAAGACCCAGTGGCCCCCATTTGAGCTGGAAGGGAGAGTTGTTTGAAGAGGTAGCAGGGACAGGACTCTGGTCTGCACAGAACCCAGAGGGTTTGACACAGGGATGCTAGCAGTGGAGCACATCTTCCAAGGCTTGCAACACTCATGTAGGTAGCTTTGGCATTTGTTGAGTGTCAGACCTGAACAGAAAAGGGCTATCATGCAATTGGGATGGGGCCAGTCTGATCTGAGTGCCCCATTATCTGCTAGCTTTTTCCAGGGTCCCTGCCTGGCTGCAAGTGCTTGCAGCACAGCCTCAGATGCTCAACCAGGGTACTTGACGGTGGCCACTGCCATAGCTCTTTTGCTGGCAGACTTTGTCTAACCATCAGAGCTTTGGCATATGGGCTCCTACCAGTGCACACCTGCCTGCAGCCTCTTCCCACTGGTTTGCCAGTGTTCACTTGCCCACAGCCTCCCCTCAACTGCTTTGCCAGCATGGGTGAGCACATGGATGCCACTGCCCCACCAATGTTGGCACACATGCATCATGCATGCACTTGTGAGCACAGACCCCAAGGCCACCACCCCCAATGAAGTGCTTGTGGTACATCTCCCATTAAGCTGGTTGGCAGTGGACCAAGAACACTTTGGCAACTCCATCACAGCAGGCGCTTAACCTCAAGGGGCCACAGAAAAAAAGCCATGGGCCTAGTCCTAGCACCAGAGGGTTAGGGCACACAGCCCAGAAGTGCTGAGCTGAGCCTTGGTCCTCTGAAATCATCCAAAAATAAAGCTAATTGACTAAATCCACATTACACCATAGTCAATCCCTCCATGACATCAAAGAGTATAAAAGCAAAGAACCCTGTCCAAAGGACAGCAGCTTCAAAGATTTAAAGAACATCAGTCCACACAGATCAGAAAGGAACAGCACAAGAACTTCAGCAATTCTAAAAGCCAAAGTGTCTTCTTACTTCCTAATGACTGCACCAGCTCACCAGCAATGGTTCTTATCCACACTAAAATGGCTGAAATAGAATTCACAATCTAGATAATAATGAAGATCATAGAGATTCAGGAGAAAGTTAAAACCCAATCCAGGAATCTTAGCAATCAAGTGAAATTATACAAGAGCTGAAAGATGAAATAGCCATATTAAGAGATAACCAAACTGATCTGATGAAAAACTCATTACAAGAACTTTATAATACAATCATAAGTATTAACAGCAGAACAGAACAAGCTGAGGAAAGAATCTCAGAGCTCAAAGACTGGTTCTTTCAGTCAACTTAGACAAAAATAAGGAAAAAAAGGAAAAAAAATCTTGGAGAAATACAGGATTATATAAAGAGAATAAACCTACAACTCATTGGCATTCTTGAAAGAGAGAGAGCAGGCAACTTGGAAAACATATCTGAGGGTATTGCACATAAAAACTCCTCCAATCTTGTTAGAGAAGTCAATATTCAAATTCAGGAAATTCAGAGAACACTTGCAATGGGATGGTCATTTTTTATAGTACCTTGCAAGTGTTCTCTGAATTCCCTGAATTTGAATATTGACCTTACAGCAGACCTTTCAGCAGAAATCCTACAAGAAAGAATAGATTGGAATATTTTTAAAGAAGAAAAGAAATTCCAACCAAATATTTCATATCAGCCAAACTGAGCTTCATAAGCAAAAGAGAAACAAAATCCTTTTCAGGCAAGCAAATGCTAATGGAATTCATTACCACCTGACATGCCTTAGGAGACATCCTATGGGACTGTTAAAGATAGAAATGAAAGACTGTTACAGGACACCACAACGACACACTTAAGTACACAGACCATTGACACTATAAAACACTGACACAATTAAGTCTACATAACCAGCTAACAACATCATGGCAGGATCAAATTTGCACAAATCAATATTAACCTTAAACGTAAATGTGCTAAACACCTCACTTAAAAGGCACAGAATGGAAAGCTGGATAAAGAACCAAGGCCCAACTGTTTGCTGTCTTCAAAGACACATCTCACATACAATGACACCCATAGGCTACCAAGGTGAAAGAGTGGAGGAAGATCTAGTAAGCAAATGGAAAAAAAAGAGCAGGGGTTAGTACTCTTATTTCAGACGAAACAGGCTTTAAACCAACCAAGATCAAAAAGGACAAAGAAGGCCATTACATAATGGTAAAATGTTCAATTCAACTCAAAGGCTTAACTATCATAAATGTATATGTACCCAATACTGGAACACCCAGATTTATAAAAGAAGTTCTTAGAGACCTACAAAGAGACTTAGATAACCATACAATAATAGTGGGAGATTCAACACCCCATTGACAATATTATACATATTATCAAGGCAGAAAACTAACAAAGATATTTGAGATCTAAAATTGACACTCAACTAAATGGACCTAACATACCTACAGAACAGTCCACCCAACAACAACAGAATATGCATTCTTTTAATATTCACGTGGCACATACTCTAAAATCAACCACGTTTGGCCATAAAAGAATTCATAGCAAATTTAAAAAAAATGAAATCATGTCAACCACAGTCTTGGACAATAGCACAGTAAAAATACAAATTGCTGCCAAGAAGAACTCTCAAAACCATATGATTTCATGGAAATCAACCAACAATCTGCTTCTGAATGACATTTGGGTAAACAATGAAATTAAGGCAGAAATCAACACATTCTTAGAAATTAATGAAAACAAAGATACAACAAACCAGAATCTCTGGGACACAGCTAAAGCAGTGTTAAGATGAAAACTTACAGTGCTAAACAACCACATGAAAAGGTTAGAAAGCTCCCAAATTAACAACCTAACACCATACATAGAGGACCTAGAAAAACAAGATCAAACAAACCCCCAAGCTAGCGGAAGAAAAGAAACAACCAAAATTAGAGTTGAAGTGAATGAAATAAAGATGTAAAAAAATACCAAAAAAATCAGTGAAACTAAAAGTTGATTCTTTGAAACAATGCATACATACAATTGATGGACTGCTAGCTAGACTAATGAACAAAAACAGAGAGAAAATCCAAATAAGCACAAGTGTAAATGACAAAAGAATATTAGCAGTGGCTCCACAGAGATAGAAAAAACCCTAGGTACTACTACAAACACCTATGTGCACACCAACTGGAAAATCTAGAAGAAATGGATAAATTCCTGTAAACATACAAGCTCCCCAAATTAAACCAGGAAAAAACTGACACCCTGAACAGAACAGTAATGAGTTCTCAAGTGAAACAGTAATTTAAAACCTGCTGGATTTATAGAAAATTTTCCTACAAATTTCCTATATTTAGGAAATGGTTTTATAGGAAAATTCTACAGACCTATAAAAAAGAGCTTGTTCCAATCCTACTGCAACTATTCCAAAAAAACAGAGGACAAGGAACTCCTCCCTTTCTCCAATTCAGGAGACCAGTATCATTTTGATGCCAACCTGGCAGAGACACAACAAAAAAAGAAAATTTCAGGAAATATCCCAGGTAAACGTAGATGCAAAAATCCTCATCAAAATGCTAGCAAAATTTAATCCAGCAGCACACCAAAAAGTTGATCCACCACAGTCAAGTAGTCTTTATTCCTGCAATGCAAGGCTGGTTCAATGTATGCAAATCAATAAATGCAATTCATAAGAAACAGAAACAAAAGCAAAAATCATGCGATCCTATCAATTGACAGAGAAAAGACTTTCAATAAAATTTATGTTAAAAACACTCAACAAACTAAACATTGAAGGAACATACCTCAAAATAATAACACCCATCTATGACAAACCCACAGCCAACATTATACTGACTAGGCAAAAGCTGGGGGCATTCCCCTTGAGAACTAGAAAAAGACAATGATGCCTACTTTCATCACTACTATTCAACATAATTCTGGAAGTGCTAGCCAGAACAGCAAGGCAAGAGGAAGAAAGAAAAGCCCTCCAAATAGGAAGAGAGGAAGTCAAAATAGCTCACTTGCAGATGATATAATTCTATACTTAGAAAACCCCAAACACTCCACCCAAAGGTTTCTAGAATTGATAAACAACTGTAGAAAAGTTTCAGGTCCAAAATCAAGGTACCAAAAATCATTTCTGTACACCAGTAACATCAAAGCTAAGAGCCAAACTAAGAATGCAATGCCATTCACAATGGCCACAAAAAGAATAAAATACCTAGGAATACAGCTAACCAGGGAGGTAAACGATGTCTAAAATGAGAATTACAAAACACTACTGAAATAAATTAGAGGTGACACAAGCAAATGGAAAAACATTCCATGCTCATAGGTTCAAAAAATCAATATTGTTAAAATCACTATGCTCTGCACAGCGACTTATAGATTCTATGCTATTCCTATCAAACTACCAACAACATTTTTTACAGAATTAAAAAAAAAAAAACTATTCTAAAATTCACGTGGAANAAAAAAAAAAAAAAAAAAAAGCCCAAAATAGCCAAGCAATCTTAAGCAAAAAGAACAAAGCCAGACGTATCACACTATTCAACTTCAAATCATTCTACGAGGTTATAGTTACCAGAACAGCACGGTATTGGTACAAAAACAGATACATGGTGCAATGGAACAGCACAGAGAACCCAGAAGTAAAGCTGCATATCTACAATCATTTGATATTCAA